AAACCAACAAACATCCAACATGCGAAATAAAGCCACCAAAAGACCAATAAGAAGCACCACCAATAGTTGCCAATAAGCCACGGATCCATAGTGGTGTGCCAAATGCTACATCATAGCCAAAAAAAGATAACTACAAACCGCAAAGCCAACCCCCATAATCACAAACAACCAGAAGAGAGACAAACACATCCAGAAACATCCGAATAGTCGCTAGCCATAGAAAACACAGAACACCTAGTCAGCAACCACCAAAAACAACTATTTTTTGGATTTCCTATTTCTTCGTGTAAGCACCCGAACAATTGTATCTCGCATAACACCTTGCTGTTCAAAAACTTCCTCTTCATCAACTTCAGAAGAAGATGATGAAGAGCCTTCAAGTCAATCAGTTTGCATCTTAACACTTTCCCCCAATCTGACGCCCACAATGGGCATACAAGGCATTCGCAAAAAGTAAAGCCACAGGAACATCAACAAGCTGTTCATACACTCCCACTCCCATAGAGGGGATCGACACAACCAAATCAGTAGGCGTCACAAGAGAAACAATAGAAGAATCCAACTCACTAGAATCAATGTTCACCACCCTCATATTAACATATACATATGTATATATGTATATATATGTATTAGCATAAACAAATTAAATTCTGTTGTATTAACTGCTGGTACACGTGTAAACATACCACTGGTTATATGTCACTTACATTGGTTCTCCTAAAGGCCTATATATAACAGGCTACTGTATCATAGTTTAGACAATACAATAATAATTTCTTTCTGTTTTTCACTCTCTATTCTTTGTCTTCTTCCTTAAGCATCATCACTTTATACATGGTATCAGAATAAGGTACCGATCCTCCTCCTTCTCGTCATGTCTCAATCGCTCTCCTCGGTGACGGATACCCATCGGCCCTTCACTGGTACTGCCGACGTTGAGCCTGTCATTCCGACGACGTTGAAGTTCTTGGTGTCCCACATCAAGAACATCGTCTCTCTCCAACTTACTCCTGAAAATTATACAATATGGAAATCCCAGATCTTAAAGATCATTCGGGCAAATGGTTTCCAATCCTTTCTTGATATCTCCATTGCTCCACCCGATCGATCAACTGATGGGGTTATGGTCGACAATCCGGAATATGCCCAGTAGCTACTCACTGATCAGAACATTTCCGCCTCAATCTGCTCGACCATATAGCCCACGGTCCTTCCATATGTCATCTCTCTGGACACCACCGCCCAGATCTGGCACACCTTGGAGCTCCGTTTTCAATCCACAAATCGGTCGAAAGTCATTCAACTCAAGAATGATCTTCACCATATTTCCCTCAAGAACTCCTCTATGAATCAATACCTGACGGACATCAAATCCCTGGTGGATCAAATCGCTGCCGCCGGCTCTACCGTTGATACCGAGGACATTATCTTATACATCCTCAACGGTCTTCCTCCTTCCTACCAATCTTTCAAACCCGCAATCCGCACCATGCTCACTCCGATCTCTCTGGATCAACTGTATCCTCTTCTATTAAGTGAAGAGGTTAATCTGGCTGCGGAGGCTACGCGATCAGCACCGACACCTAATCCCAACACGGCTCTGTTTTCATATAGAGGCCGTGGTCGTCGAAGCAGAGGAAGAAGTTCCGCTCCAGCATCTGGCAATCCAAGAACAGCCAACTCTCTATCAGTAATCTGCCAAATATGTCTCAAGCGGGGTCACTCGGCCCAGGCCTGCTGGCACCGTCTGAATACCCAATATTCGCCATCACCACGGCAGCAGAACACTGCCTTAGCTGCCCAATCAGACAATGCCAATCCCAACTGGTTCTTGGACTCGGGGGCTTCTGCGCATCTCACGAACTCCCTCGACAATCTCTCGATCTCCCAGCAATATCAGGGAGCTGACACGGTAACTATTGGCGACGGCAGCACCGTCGGGATTGCCAACACGGGGGCGGGTATACTCCCGACCCCGTCTCGTAAGCTAACTCTATCTCATATTCTCCACTCTCCTTCCATTCATTACAATCTCTTATCTATCTCTCAACTAACCAAAGACAACAATGTAGCTATTATTTTTGATCCTACCGGATTTGTTTTGAAGGATTTGGCGACCGGCAAAGTACTGTTTCAAGGCCCGTGTAGTGGCGGCCTCTATACCATGCCCGCAGCGACTTCCACAAAGAATAAAGGGCTCACGGCATCCATCAGCTCCGCCGCATCTTGGCATCATCGTCTTGGGCACCCTCACAAAGGAACTCTTGATTTACTGTCTTCTTGTAATCCTTCTTTAAACATAGGAAAATTTGCTACAAATTGTATTTCTTGCAATATGTCTAAAAGTCATAAGCTTGTTTTTGATACCTCGAATAATCGTCAGAACTCCCCGTTAGCTTTAATCCACTCTGATGTGTGGGGACCCGCTCCCTTTATTTCAAATCAGGGATACAAATTTTACGTTACTTTCATCAACAATTTTTCGAGATTTACCTGGCTTTTTCCGTTACGGCACAAATCTGAAGTTTTTGAATCTTTTGTTAATTTTAAACTACAAGTTGAAAAATACACTGATAAGCGTATCAAGTGCCTCAGGACTGATGGTGGACTTGAGTATGTTAATATCACCTTTACCAACTTTCTCAAAGCAAACGGTATCCAGCATCAAATTTCTTGTCCTTACACTCCGGAGCAGAATGGGTTAGCAGAGCGCAAACACAAGCATCTTATCGAAACAACTCGTACGCTGCTCCACACAGCCTCCGTTCCTTACGTTTATTGGCCAGATGCAGTTATCACAGCGACTTACTTGATCAATCGACTACCCACACCCACGCTTCAGAATCTGTCCCCATTCGAAGTCTTTCACAAAGCCAAACCGTCTTACACACACTTAAGGATCTTCGGTTCAGAATGCTTTCCTCTAATACCAGCTCAAGCTCGTCATAAACTCCAACCTAATGCTCATCCTCATGTTTTCATTGGGTATTCCGACACATACAAAGGCTATCGCTGCCTTAATATACATACTAACAAAATTGTCATATCGTGCAATGTTACTTTTAACGAACTAGTTTTTCCTTTCGCTAATGTGTCTCAGGAAACCAACACTACTTCTGTAACCACATCCCCGTTTCTACTAACACCGGTTTCAGCAAGTCATGTTCCTAACTTTTTCAGGACTCCGACCACTCCATGTATGTCGCAAGATCTCCCTGTCTCTTCTCCGTCTCAGCCTCAGCAGGAGATCATGTCTTCCCGACTGGTTGAACCCCAATCCTCTACGGTTGATCTGCTTCCATCTACCAGTTTACAACCTCCCGCCAAACCAACTCAAACGCATCAAATGATAACTCGAAGCAAAACCGGCTCCCTCAAACAGACCAACCGACTCAATCTACTACACCAATACAATTCAGCTGATGAGGAATCAGATCCTACTTCGTATATCGAAGCCGCAAAGAAACCAGAATGGCGAGCTGCAATGGCCGCTGAATTCCTGGCCTTACAAAAGCAGTGAACATGGCATCTTGTCCCGCCTCCTCCAAAGGCATCTGTACTAGGTTGCAAGTGGACGTTCCGAACCAAGCGTAATACCGAAGGATCAATTGTCAAATTTAAAGCTCGTCTGGTCGCTCAAGGGAATCATCAGGAGTACGGGATCGACTATACGGAGACCTTCAGCCCAGTTGCCAAACTTCCCACCATACGAATTCTGCTTACAATTGCATTACATCATAATTGGCCAGTTCAGCAGTTGGATGTTGCCAACGCATTTCTGCACGGTCAATTATCGGAAACCGTATATATGGCTCAACCTAGGGGATTTGAAGATGCCCTGCATCCAGATTACGTCTGTCACCTTCAAAAATCAATTTACGGACTCAAGCAGGCGCCACGACAATGGTATAACACTTTCACTTCGTTTCTTGTCTCCCTTGGATTCAACCATAGCCAATCGGATCCCTCATTACTCCTCTACCATAAAAACAAAGTTACTATTTATCTTTTGGTCTATGTTGATGACATTCTTATCACTGGCAATGATAAGCATGCCATCAATAGCATCATTGCCAAACTTAACCAGGAATTCTCCATGAAAGACTTGGGTACCGCAGCTGAATTCCTTGGCATTAAAATACAGAGGAATGCGGAATAAATGTTCCTGTCTCAGCAACGATATGCAGAGCAAATTCTGCATCAAGCGGATCTCAGTCGGTGCAATCCGCTGGCCAACCCTTCATGTACCAAATGGCCCACTGATACGCCCACTGTCTCCTCACTCCAGGACGCCACTCTGTACAGAAGACTCACCGGTTCCCTACAATATCTTACAATAACTCGTCCCGACATTGCGTTTAGTGTCAATCAACTCTCCCAACACATGCACGATCCACAGCCGAAGCATGCCTATATGCTAAAACGTCTCCTCCGCTATATCAAAGGTACGTCAGATTTTGGAATTCCTATAACTAAAACTAATCTTCGTCTTACTTCCTATTCAAATGCGGACTGGGCAGGCGACCCAATGTCACATCGATCTACAACCGGATTCTGCTCTTTTCTTGGTGACACACTGATTTCGTGGACGGTCAAGAAACGGACCACCGTTGCTCGTTCCTCGACCGAGTCTGAATACAGAGCTCTTGCAGCTCTCACGGCGGATCTCATATGGACGCGAAGGCTACTCAATGAGCTTCAAATTCCACAGGATTCACCGTCCACCATCTTTTGCGACAACACTTCTGCAATCGCCTTGGCGAACAACCCGGTCTTTCACGCTCGCACCAAGCATATCGAAATTGATCATCGATTTATCCGTGATCTTATACACAGCAACACTATCTGCCTTCTACCTATTAGCACTGTAGACCAAACGGCGGACATTCTAACCAAGTCTCTATCCACATCGCGCTTTCAGTTTCTTCGGAACAAACTGACGGTTCGACAAGCTCCTTCAGTTTGAGGGCGGGTATTAGCAGAAACAAATTAAACTGATGAAATTGATTCGAACTGATTTGAATTCTCGAGTTGGTTCAAACTTGATTTGAACATTTCAATGAACGTTGTGTATATGCACTTCTTCTTAAGATCATTTTCAACCGAACTGCATACCATTAAATGCCGTCCACGAATCGTTGCATGAACAGTCTGACGCAAATATTAGCGTCTCACTGTTCACCTACGCAAAAAAAAAAGCAATTACCTTTGCACTCTGCTTAGCTTCGTAGGAAGCGCGCGAAATAGGAGATAGATGGTTACCTTCGCAAAGAAGCGTGCGAAAAGGAAAAATGGAGTTCCGTTGAAGATGAACTACCGTATTTTGAAGTTTTACGTCATTTTAGAGTGGAAAATGGGGATTTCGGTTGGAGATGCCCTACACTGGCCAATGCAAACGATGCCCTCAACGAGCTCCATTCATGAAGTAGCCGCTCCGGTGATCCGACAAACTCCTCTTTTGTTCACATGTTGTTAGGTTCAAACACAAACTTCTTCAAACCTATTTCAAATGGCTTAGTCCACTTAGCAATCCACAAATAGAAGGGTTTATCTCCCATTGGAGGTATATTTTCATCCGAAATAAACTTCGAGCATATTTATTCAAAGAAATAAGCAATAGGCATATATCAGCAAGTAAAGCCTATATCATCTGCCACATGAGTTTTTGATGTAGAAACAATTTAAGGTTTCGTTTGGGACAACTTTCTTACTGCTTCATAAAGCAGTTTTTTAGTACAAAAATTAAAAAATTTGTACTAAAAAGCAGTTTTAATAAGCAGCAAAAAAGCCGTCCCAAATAAAGCCTAAATGTAACTTGGATTATTTCGTAAGAGAGCCTTACTCTTGTGCAAAGAATTGGAGAATTCTACGGCCAGACTAGAAGCAAACAAGTATTCCCTGCCACATATACCACCAGAATTAGTCTACATGGATGCACAGAAGAACTAAAAGTTTCTGCTGCTAAGGTCTTTGAAGGAAAAAGGAATGACTTGCCTGGATCAACAATTTTAAACTCAAGACAAGTATTGCTCAATGGAATACTGGCAGGTTAGCTGACTATCTACACAGTAAGCAAGCAGTAAATTTATCTGATCAGAATGAAGCAAGAGAGCCGAAGGGAATAGAAATAAAAGTGATTATGCTTACTCAGCAATCTCTGCTTCTATTTCCTTTTTAAATTGCTTTGTAGGATTTCCAAAAAGGAATATATTCAGTATAAACCAGTTTTCTCATACAGAATAAGCTCCTCAGTGTAAGTGGAACCTGCAGCATAATAAATTAGTACGAAGAAAACTATCTTACATCCAAGTTAAGGGGCTGTTTGGTAGCAGGATTTAGGCCGGATTTGAGCGAAATCCAATCAAACTGCCTCAAATGCAAAACCAAATCTCACGGTAAATGAAAGTTGGTGTAGAAAAAAAAGTACCCCTTTTCGTTGTAAATCCCGGATTTCTGAAATCCTTTAATTCAGTGGATTTAACTCTCTATTGACTCGAAAGGGAATAAAGTCCGCTTGTCAACCGTTCGTCTTACCTCCGCTCGTTTCCAGCCAAACAGTCACGTAGGATTTAACAGGATTTATCATGAATATTGCCAAATAGTTTTCAGGAATTAACCCCCTAGGATTTCTTAAATCCTGATTTAGAGGATTTACAAAATCCTACTTAAATGAAATCCAGGGTGCTACCAAACAACCCCTAAAAGTCCCCAATTCAACTAAAGGATCTATACACAAATATCTGCCAAGAGAGTTTGAAACCTGCAGTAGCCAATCAAATCAAAAAGAAAGAAAAAATACATTTGTTGTACTGTGCAGAACAAATGTCTGCCTTCCCCTTCATTCTGAAAGGAAACCATCAGTATTGAGTGGGAACGTTTGTTAGCTTAAAATGCATTATTACATAAATTCAAATGAAATATTCTTAAAATGAACCGCAACAACTTTTGCCTAAACTACCCCAATCCTAAACACCTTCAATCCAACCCAATCCTACTTAGAAAAAAGGCTAGTAAAGCTTTGACATTGGGTTTTACATACATGCCACTTCAAATTTTATGTACTCCAAATTAAATATCAAACATTTCATACATATGTTATCCAAAACTTTCTTCCTATGAAGTACCATTTTGTGAACCCAGGCAATCTTGAAAGGTTACTCTAAATAGTGGGCACAAATCAATCATTTAACCATTCATTAATACTACTAGGAACCGTTTGTTAAATTTAATTGAAGTAGCAAGTAGTCACTCTTTTCATGGAGAAATTATTTTATGCGGTCAACGGACCGTCTAGAGACGAATGAGAGAGTGCCATGTCATCCAGTATCGAGCGGTACATAACAGCAGTACACGATAAAAAAATGACGTGGCATGCACTCATTCGTCTCCAGACACCGTCCGGTGACCGCACAGAATAATTAATCCCTCTCATAACCACAAAGACCACACACTAATGCTAGTGAGGTATCAATGACAATGACCCATCAATTGTCCTACTAGGCATTAACTTGATAGCTGGTAATTTGGTTGTTCACTGTTCATCCTTGGTTTATCTAGCTTGTGGTGCGCAATAAATAAGGAGAAGATATTGTGGAGTTCCTATTTCTTTTTACTAATGGTGAGCAATAAATAGCGAGTGGATATTGCAGAGTTCCTGATTCTTTTGATGGGAACAAAGTCTTCAAGGAGTTTAGACAGATTTTGTTTAAGTGTATTAAATAGGGTTCTTTATTCTACATTCCAAATGCTTCAAGGGAAAATATCATGAATGTGATATGGGGAAGCTAAAGCACCAATTAAGGCTTATCTTTTCACCAACAAAATGGGTTCAATTATAGCTTAAGGTTTCATTTTGAACAGCTTTTTTACTGCTTCTTAAAACAGCTTTTTAATGCCAAAATTAAAATTTGTGTACTAAAAAGCTGCTTTAAGAAGCAATAAAAAAACCATTCCAAACAAAACCTAAATTTGCCATCACTTAGCTTAACTTAAGCCTCAATCCAAAAAGCCCTAAAACTATGTTGTAAGCCTCATCTATTGTCCTTAGAGGATTCTAATTTGACTCATGTTTAATTTATTGTCTAAGGTCTTTAATGATATAAATATTGATAAATTAATTAATTCTAAGCAAATAAATTTGGCAAGAAATATTCAAATGTAAGAAAATATGAAAATATTCTAAGTAATTTTGTTTAAAATTCCTAAATTGAGCATTTAAGAATTTTTTGAATTCTTCCGGTCTCTCTTTTTTTTTTTTTTATTTAAGAAGCACAAGGCTAAAAACAAGTCTCATATTTTATGAAGGATTAAAATTTCATGAGAAAAAAATTATTATTTTTTTCATTCAAAGAACATTTTATTCATTGGCCACTGAATTATGCACAAACCTCAAATCATTATTTATATTTATAAAATAATTAAAAATAGCTTTCACTGACTTAGGATTGCACCCGAAGTCTATAACTAGAGTTGATGCTGCAACCGTTTACTCCAAGTCTCCAACAGTACCAAGATAGCCAGAATCATCTACAGCCCAAAACAAAACGAGTTCACAGTGGAACCAAAGTCAAACACACAAACTAGAAAATCTTCGATCATCAATGAAATGTGGGAGCCATAAATCGAAGAATAACGGAGTCGTGGATCTTGTGGATAACAACGCTAAGCAATAGGAGAAAAGTTGTAGATATAAAGAAGCAATAGATTAAGAAACAGAGAAGAATAGGAATGGTATAGTGTTAGGCCGGCCCCTCATGGGTCGGCTGGACCGGTCCTTACTTACTCCAGGCGGCCCCACATGGAGTTTAATTCAAGTGTTAGAGGGAAAATTTGAAGTGTGTGTGTGTGTGGGGGGGGGGGGGGGGGGGCGGGAATCACACCAAAGATATCAGGAGGGGGGAGGGGGGGGGGGGGGGGGGCAGGATTTGAATAGAAGGGCTGTTTAGGGATTTTGTATGACCATTGGAGTTAAAGAGGGGGAAAAGGGGAATTTAGGTTTTCATCTTTAATTTGGGCTGATTTTTGGTATCTTCTTGGAGGCTTGGGCTCTAGTTTTCTTGGCTAGAGATTTTTTGGAGAGTTCTCTTCCTCTTGAATTGAAGAATCTTGTATGATTATTGTTTTCTTTCATCTGCTAGTAGAATACAAGTGGTTGGTTTAATTTTCTTCAGATTCCTACTCAATTTCTTGTTGTTTTTCACTGTTTGGGGTTGTTAAACTGCTGTAAACAGCAGTTTTGTTGCTGTTTTCTCTCCAATTTGGGATAGGGTTGCTTGCGAACTCAAGTATTACCTTAGGGTTACTTGCGAACTCAAGTATTTCCTATCATATAGTCATGATATGCTTAAAAAAATTCAATAAATCAGCACGAAACTCAAAGTAATATTCAAATTAAAAAAATTTCTAACCATTTAAAACTTTGATTTTAGTAAATTTATAGTCAAACTAAACATCTCAATGAGACAAGCTCATTGACACTACAAATGATTAAATTTAAGTTAAAATGAACCCAAATCAAAAACTCGAAGCATATTTGCAAACTTTTGAAGATTAATTAAATGGTAAAACGATTTTCAAATATTGCATGCTTAAAATCAAATTGAGCAGCTTGATAAGACGAATCTAAAAAGTCCAAGATCATTCAATTCTAACATCATTAAAACAAAGGCTGGATAAATGATATTTGATTAAGGGGATCAATATGGATCGATGGAGTATTTTTGATTTTGACCTAATTTATCAAAATATCTCTCTCATAAAGGTTAAAAATAGGGCCTTAATCTTCTACAAAAAAGAAAATTTGAGAGCAAAGAGAGCTACTGAACTCTATTGCATTTTCTAGTGATAATCGTTGATAATCAAAATCAGTAATCATCGCCACTAGTGTCATGGTTCCGCCACCAGACTATTAATCTAACCCTGTTGTTGGGTTTTAATTGTATGCTTGTGGACAACCGATTTCTATAACCCTAGTAATAGGAATCAACAAATTATTTTAAACCGTGAAGAATCCCATATTCTACAATTTGAGAAAGGGGGTGATTATGATATATTTCATTAGGTAGTGGATTATTTAAATTGGGCTAGGCCCGTGGCTTTACCCATTCTTGAGTTTTTCAAGTGAAAATTTCTAGTCTCTCATAATTTTTATTTATACGTGCTACATTTTTATACAAAACAAAAATATAGAACAAATACTATACCTCCACAAATTTTATAGCATGTACAAGGAGCCACATCAAATACTCTCAAAAGTATAGGCAAATTGCTTTGCAAGAGTGGTGTCATGTTCATAAAATTATGTAAGTGTTGCACACACAAAAATACATATTTGGTTGCTGGAATTTAGTTATCAATAAGGACTCATCCAAGTGCTCATTTGGTTGCTTGAAAATGGGAAAAATGGAAAACATGTCTTAGAAAATAAGAATTTTGCTTTTCAATCATTTTGTATGTGAAATTGATTTTTCTTTAGAGGAGATTTGTGAATTTAAAATCAATGTTAGTGTTTAACAACATTCAACCAATGATAAATATGTTGAGTAGAAAACCTCACAATGAAACAAACAAGAAAAAAAAGAGCATAAATAAACACCAGGTTTTAACATGGAAAAATCCAAAATCGGGGAAAAAATCATGGATTCACACCACACCAACAAATTCTCTAGAAAAATTGAGAGAAATTATATAGATCTCTTTCTCTCTCACTCTCTCCTTGTCTCACTTCACTTTGCACAGCTCTACACCCAGAACTAACAAAGAGACTTTTTTAGAAACATCAATGGACATAACACTTCAAGTTAAACATGAAAAATTTCATTATATTTCAAAACATGATTTATAACATCAAGCAAAGAAATGAGCCCTAAGAGAAGATGAGCTTGTTTGACCACTTGGACAATTGTAGTTCAAATTTGAAAGAAAAATGAATGTCAAAGTAAATATAAGTGAATTCAAATATGATTAATGTTGGTTCTATACCACGTACAAGCATGTAAACTATAGTCCATTGACCAAAAGTTTACCATAATTGGAAGCTTCAGCCGAGTTGCTTATTATTGTCATGATTATCCCTACCAAAAACTCCACAAACCTTAAAGTTCCAAACAATCTTTGCCATATCATCCTGAGGTACACCCAATTCCTGATGTTTTACAGACTTCCGAAGTTCACAAAAAAACTTTGGATCTTGAAGTTTAATGTACTCCCTTAACACCCATTCATGCTCAGGCACCCAGTTCTTAGGCAATGGTGTATAATCACAAGATGGAATCAGTGCCATGTGTGAAAACTGCACACCATCAATGGCATCAACCAGTCCCATTCTTAAAAGATCAGAATACTCCGGAGAGGCATTTCTTGTACTCTCCCTCAGTGGACGGCTGAGATCACGCGACGCAATTTTATACACCTTAGCTCTAGATTTCAATCTATACCTTGCAGCATAAAGTTTGGCAATAGAACTTCTTATAACATAGGCACAGAATCCAACTATTTTCTTGCGATTATCTGCATATTTATACCAATCAGCCATGGTTTCCAACAACTTATTCATCTGAGAATTAGTATGAGCTTGGCCTGAATAAAGCATTGGTGTGCAAGGGAGTGGCTCTGGGTCTTTATCTCCTTTAACAAGCTCAAGCTTCCTGAACTGTCTGATGCACTGATTCAGGCTTGCATTAACAGAGAGCAATGTCCCAAGGCCTTTTTTGCTTACTACATTTCCACCAGTAGCCGTATAATGCAGTGTGGGGTAAATAACTCTCCTGCTGATTACATGATCCAAGAACTGAATTCCCCTTGTAATATGCTCAATCTCTATTTTTGAATTTTCCAATCGCAACCCATATCTTGTCTCACAAAACTCTATCAAATCCTTTCTTAACTCAACAGCATCTTCTCTTGGTCCTCGAATCCCAACCAAGATGTAAGAACCATATCTTACATAATCCATTCTCCTCGTCTTTTCTCGCCCGCTTGACGGCACAAACTCAGGCCAAGCAGGGTTATGGCAGCCATCATCCATGGACTCTTTCCATATGGAATCAAGCTTCGAAGGACGAAAATACTTCACTATTCTATCTTCCATCCAGTTATCTAGCTCATTCAAGCAGATGTTGGCAAGCAAAGGGCTTAGTATACCACAATGGCCGTATCTAGGAACCCAGTTAGCCTCTTCAGGTGCAAAGCTGAAGAAAGTCCTGAGCCAGTAAGGATCCGGCTTGGGTTCGTTCTCATTCAGCAGCTTCTTCTTTCTGCTCTTCCTAAGCATCTTCCGCTTCATTCTCCTCTTAGTCAATTTGTCGAGCACCTTGCCTTCACCACCAGAAGCCACCTTGACGGGAGTCCTCAGAGCAGATTTGACTAGCCCCACCACTTTTCGATCTCCTACCGCCTTCTCCAAGCAAGACACAATAAGTTCCGGCGTAAAATCATCAGCCACATCGGTGAGGTCGGCCTTAAGGAACCAAAGGTATCCGGCAAAGTTGGATCGAATGGTGCGAATGACAGTGTGGGGAGAGCGGCCCGGACGAAAAGCGTGCGACTTTGAGGAGAAGCGGGGTTCAAAAACGGGCTCGAGCACAAGAAGGAGAAGTTCCTGGAGGACATGGTCTTGGAAGGGAGGAGGGGAGGATTCAAGAAGCGCGTAAAATTTGCGCTTGGAAATTCGATGGATTGAGGGGGGATCGTTCGGAGAGCGGAGAATGAGGTGGGTGGTGGCACCCCAGGGATGACGGCCGGAGAGAGCGGAGCGGCTTAGGGCTAGGAGGGACCGAAGCTCTGAGACGTGGATGGCGTTTTTTGGAGGAAAGGAGCCCGTTTGATGAGCGCAGGAGCGCTGGTAAGCGAGGATCCAGAGATCGAACTTTTTGAGGAAGCCGGTGAGGTTAGGGAAAGAAGGGTGGAGGTGGGAGCGGGAGAAGGAGCGGACCCAGATATCGGAGCAGACTTGGATAGGATCCTCGCAAATTAGATCGTAAGGGTTCTCTTCGCCAGCTTGATGGCTTTGGAATTGGAGAGGGGCGATGGGTAGAAGACGGTGGCGGTGGCTGGAGAGGGTGGAGAGATTGAGGGAGAAGAAAAGTTGGGAGCTGGGGAGACGGCGGTGAATGTGGTGATTAAGGGCTGGAAGGAGCATCTCATGTTACCAAGGGTTTTGATGAAGGATTAATAGAATTGAAGAGGAGGAAGAATTGAAATGGTGAAAGCTAGGCGGGGTTACATGTGATGTCTTTCCCTCCATTGTCTGATGGGATTTCTTCCTTCCTGCAGCTGCTGAAAGTGACACTGTGGTAGTGGCAGTAGCGGAAGCTAAGGGGCTGTTTGGTATAATCGAGTATTTCATTTAACTGGATTTCATTTTTAAGTAGGATTTTATAAATCCTCTAAATTCGGATTTGTGAAATCCTGAGGGGTTAAATTCTGAAAACTATTTGGTAATATTCATGATAAATTCAGTTAAATTATGTGTGACTGTTTGGCTATGCAAGTCAAGATTTAAGGTAGTTAAAAGAAAAACAGCTAGAAACGTTCAGACTTCTCTCCCGTGAATAAGAAGTTAAATCCGCTGAATCAGTGGATTCGCGGAATTAGGGATTTACCGTAAAAAGTTGTCTTTTTCCGTCAACCGCGGATTTCATTTGCCGTGAGATTTGGATTTGCATTTTAGGCCTTTTTTCTTGATTTCACCCAAATCCGGCCTAAATCCGCATACCAAACAGCCCCTAAATGGTTCACCTTGTTTACGCTTTTTTTTTTATGGCTTTGAAATTTTAAGAAGGAATTTTGATGTATGGTCTTATTGGTCTCTCATTTGATGTAGGAACATCTTAGCTAATAGTAAGCTTAAGGACTAGCCTACCCTTCCTTGGTCTAGATAGTTCTATTTTGCACTATAAATAGTGGCTAATGTAAGGTTTTGAGCTCATTGAATGAAATATATTAGTCTTTGAAGCCTTTGAGCTTTTCTTTCTCTTCTTCCCTGGATTGGGAAAACCCCAAATCCTTCTTGCAGGTCGCATCTTCCGACGATCCACTACATCAGTTGGTATCAGAGCCTGGAGCTTGCGAAGATCGATGGACTGCGGAAGAAGGTCGGCTGTCGACGACGATCGAAGCCGCAAAACAAGATTGGCGGTCGACGACGATCGACGCCAAGGAAGGTGGGCTGTCGACGATGCTCGAAGCCGGATCGCCTTCTACCAAGCTCAATCGAAGGAATCGCTCGATCGGGTAGACAGAAACCTTGATCGGATTCGTGAAAACCTTCGGGCAATAAGGAAGATGAGAATGTCGTCGGCAACCATACCGAGGTATTCTTCTTCTTCTTCGATCTCCTCGTCTGCTTCACGCCGACGCCATCAGTCCCGCCATAGCCCAGCCGTCGTTGATGACTATGCTCCGCTCGAGCTTCCGTTGCGATGGCGCGATCCTCCTCCGCTTCATTGCCATATCAGTGTTCCCGAACCTCCATTTTCTTCCATTCCCACCACTGCCGTTGATTCAAACCATCGTGCAAGTGACGATCCGAGAGCCTACACTCGCTTTAGTTCATCCGAACTGGCCGTTCCCAATCCCGCTCCCGCCCTTAGAGAGCATTACATCCACGACCCGATCTGCTCTAGCTCAAGACGGACGGATGCAGACGACGCCCCCAAAATGAGCCCTCTCACCAACGCCAAACCTCCTCCACTCCCTCCTGACTTGACCAACACCAAACCTCCTCCGCTCCCGCTCAAGGCGATGCCCCCAAAATGAACCCTCTCAACAGATCCGAAGCCGTTCCAACAAAGCTCTTCTGTCGTTGATTTCTGCCCACGCAATTTCGGCACCGACACCACTCTGCTCTCACGTTCGCTCTACTTCGGCAATCCCATGCCCGCTGTTTTCCCTCACTCCAGTATGATTCCACACTCACTTCCATTCCGCTTCCTTGACCCCACATCAGAAACGGCTACTTTCGAGCAGCACTTTATGTCGATGATCCTCATGATTAATGTGAAGTTTCAAGAAAACGTGGCGACATGGAGTTGCTTTCATGATCGGAAGGATGCATTTAGGGGATTCTTGTGGAGGGTTCTTCGGCTGAAGGAAGAGGGAAGAAAGCTTACTATAGAAGAGAATTCAAAAGTTTATTTTAAAGCAGAACCTTCTGTTCCTCTTTTTTCCTGTTTGCTAGTTTTACCTGTGCAGAGTTCGGAGGCTGAGTTATATGACAACTATATCGTTTGTATTGAGGACGTTTTCATTGCAGGCGTGGAAATACCATGTTTAAATTCTGCTGAAAAGGTTGATCTAACGTCATGCTCACAAGCTGCTCGACGTAATGTCGGTACTGACTTCGGGCAGTTGGTTGTTGACGATTTCATTGCTGAAATTGTCGAGGGAGATCGATTCACAGTTCAGGTTCTTCATCTATTAGAAAGCACAAAGCAAGAGCAGCAACATGAGTTGTTCAAAGCAAGTGAAGTTGTATCCTTGCCTAGAAATGATCTCCTCGGTAGAGGCAAGGACAAAGAGTTTGTTATGCAGTGGCTACGGAACCCATCAAATGAGCATCCTGGAACTGATTTATACAGAAACATTTCTCTTCTAGCTATAGTGGGGCATGGTGTTATGGGAACGACAACTCTAGTGCAACAGATCTGTGAAGATGAAATGATAAAGGAATTTGATCTTAAACTATGGGGTTGTGTATTCAACAACTTTGATGTGGACAAAATCATTGCAGATATGTTGAAATCTCTTAAAATGAGTAAACCTCCGTTGGATACATTTCATGCATTTCAAAAGAACCTTAAATCTGAGATAATATCAAAAGGATTCTTACTTGGGCTGGATGACTTGTGGGATGAAGAGGAGGAAAGGAACAAAACTAAATGGGAGAATATGCTCGCCTCTCTATCTTGTGGAATTTGGGAAAGGGATTGGTTCTGTCCCGAGAACTCATATTTACCAACCAATTGGCAAACTGAAATGCTAGTTTATTTCAAGGATTCCAAAGCTGAACCTCCTCACTTGGATTGGGGAAAACCTCTTCATGTGGTAATTTTAAAGTCTGCATTCAAAGTCTTCGATCCAGGAATTTGTTTGTCACCCTTCCTCCCTTCTAATAATGTGTCTCGACGGAGTCGAGCTTTTTGACACAAGGGGAGAATGATGTAGGAACATCTTAGCTAATAGTAAGCTTAAGGACTAGCCTACCCTTCCTTGGTCTAGATAGTTCTATTTTGCACTATAAATAGTGGCTAATGTAAGGTTTTGAGCTCATTGAATGAAATATATTAGTCTTTGAAGCCTTTGAGCTTTTCTTTCTCTTCTTCCCTGGATTGGGAAAACCCCAAATCCTTCTTGCAGGTCGCATCTTCCGACGATCCACTACATCATCATTTTTAATGCAATTCAAGTACTATTTATATCTCTGTTGATTCAATAAAAATGTTGTGTTTAGGAGTTCCTATTTTCAACTTGTTGATTTTTTCAAAAAAACTTGTTGATTGATTTGCAAATTATTCACAATTAAGGTTTTCAAACTTTAATATATAATTTTACTTCTTATTTTTTTTTTAACATCTTCATCACCTTCCCAAAGCTTTTACTCACTTTAACATTCACAAAAAATCGAGTTTTATTCCTTTCATGAAATCCTACCTACTTTTCTCTGCCTATTGAAATCACAAAAAAATTAACACAATTAGTTATCTAAACATCTCAAATCTTTGATCTTGAGTTTCTCATCCTTTTCCATTAAAAAAAAAAATTCTCAGACTTTCACGACCATAACTTTCAGTAAGAAATTTATCAAGAAATCTTATAATATTCAATATTTTATCTTAGCCTTCCCCGTCCTAAATCTTCCAACTCGACTCCAACAACCCTTGAAATCTCCTAACAATAATATATATGTATATATATATTATAATTTTTATTTCACTCATACATGTCTTAGATATATAAAGAAAAAAAACTCAATCTTCTTTCATTATGACAAATTGTTCATTATCTCTACAACTATAAACCTAATGAATCTCCCTTCCAAAGTCTTACCAATAACATTCATGAGCCTCTCTCTTTCTTTCCCAAAGCCTTATTAAGTTTCTCTTAATGACAAAGCTAGCTATATGAAGCTCTTACCATGGACACAACTTCAACTAAAAAGCTTCAAGGATGATGCTACTTTGGCCTCTCCACATGCCACAAGCCAAGGCTCAAATAATGCATCCATGCACTAATGATAATGCTAAATGGCATTAAACATAGTTAAATAATAATTAATGATGTTAAGCTTCACTAAAGAATATACCACAATATGATAAATATAATCAGTCATATAAATCAATTATATTATCCAGCTTGAGAGCTTATCGTACTTATGATCCGCTCAGCATATGGATAGTCACAATTCAAAGATTGTGATACATCGTCAAAAAATTATCTCGATCGGGCACGAATCTCGATACAAAATTGAGTTGGAAACTTCTAAAATTAATTCAGAGACCATCTCCACTCCGATTTCAGCAAACTTACAATCAAACTGAGCGTCTCGGAAATACGAATCCAATGACACCAAATTCGACTCAATCCGAACCCAAATGAGCCCAAATCAAGGACCCGAAGCGCTGTTGGAAGCTTCGTAACACTGTTTGAGTTACCAAACGGTGTCCGATTTTAACGAGCTTATACTCGAATCGAACGGCTCGACGAGAAAAATCCAACGAGCCCAAGATCACTAAATTTTGACATCACTAAGGCCTTCAAATGTCCAACGAACGGTGCACGTTCGTAGGATTCAATATCGGCCGTCCATTCGACCACTCCCAATTCGCCCATGATCTCACGCCTATTTACGGGCTATGCCACTCCATAAAATCTATAAATAGAGCCCTCATTCTTCACAAGGGGGGAGGTCCAAGCAAGAAGCAAGAGGAGAAGAGGAGGAGAAGGAGGAAGCTCCTCCTCGACCACCGTCGTAATCTCTCCGGACCACCGCAGAATCTTGCCGGAACACCACCGGAATCTCGCCGGACCACCGCTGGAGCCTCGCCGGACCATCGCCGGAGCTTCGTTGCACCACCACCTCCAGGCCCAACATTTTGCTTAAGGCCCGACGTTCTACTGAAGGCCCAACGCTCTGTTCAAGGCCCAACGTTCTGCTCAAAGCCCGACATTCACCAGGGGCCCTCACCTTCACCTGCGGTTCGGACTTCTGTTAGGCCACTACCTAACGCCTAGAGTGTAAAACCCTTAAAAAGCTGATTTTTTTTTAGTGCAGTTCGTCTGTACGAACTGGATTTAGTACAGGACGAACTGAAGAAATTTGTGAAGAAATCTGTCATTTTCGTCTGTATGAACCTGGAGCGTCGGACGAAATTTGTCCAAAGAGCAATTCGCCCGGGACGAATTTTAATTTCGTCTGTACGAAATTCTGCCCGAGGCAAATCGT